TCTTGTTCTAATATAATCAAATTTCAAGAATCCCTTGCAAAAAATAAGGTAAAGTGGACATTCGCGCGCGCAAGACGAAATCCTTCCAAAAGCTTAGTGTGCGGAGCGATTTTAACATAAAAACATCAAAAAAAACCAATGGTTTTTCAACAAAAAAATGTCAAAATCTCATCCCGCGCGCTCTTGCGGATTCGTAGGAAAACCCAACACTTTTTTAACATTTCTGTCAAACGGGCTTTTGCGAGCAACTTTTTCGAACTTCTGCGACAACGGTTGCGCACCTGCCAGGGCCATCATCCCTGTCAAATAATACCATGCGGGACACATTCGTTTTTGCTTCGCGCGCGCACGCCGAAATCTCCAAAAACCATTGGGTTCTTAAGAATTTTAGCACCGCGCATCATAAAATCACACGAATCGCACCGTAGGTCCTCGAACAACACCTGCACGACTTTTCAAAATTTCCACCCGCGCGCGCTGTCCGAATCCTAAAAAAACCAATTGTTTTCCAACATTTATGTTACATGAGCTCGCGCGAGCTACTTTCGCACGCTCTTGCAACGGGGTTCGCGCGCCTGCCAGGGGCCATAATCCCTTGCGGTTGCGCCATAAGTTCTGAATAAGTGACCAAGTTCTGTGGGTGTGTACCCCACGCCAGTGTAGTAGCCACGGTCGTCCGCACGCCACGAATTGAAGTGTCCCAACGTCATAGGGCGGGAAGCTGGGTTTGGGTGGTCGCGAAGAGTCGTTTGGATATTTGGTAGAGCTTGAACTGCCCCCCCACGAAGTGGGGGTATTGTCTCGCGTCGCATGAAAACCCTGGCACTGGTGAGAACACTGAGCGTTCGGTTAAAATGATTGTTGTTGTTGTTGTTGTTGTTGTTGTTGTTGTTGTTTGTGGTTGTGGTTGTGGTTGTGGTTGCGGTTGTGGTTGTTGTTGTGGTTGTGGTTGTTGTTGTTGTTGTTGTTGTTGGTGCTGGTGCTGGTGTTGTTGGTGTTGTTGTTGTTGCTGTTGTTGTTGTGGTTGTGGTTGTGGTTGTGGTTGTGGTTGTGGTTGTTGTTGTTGTGGTTGTGGTTGTGGTTGTTATTATATATATGTGCTGGCTATCCTTCATTGATTTTTGTGTCCAGAGTCCGCCTGCAGGAGGACAGGCCCGACCTCAGCCTGGGCCTCCCCTGGGCTCCTCCCTCGCCCCGGGGCGTCCTCCCCGCCCTCCGCCTGCCTCGCCCTCTGCCACCCTCGCCCTCTGGCCTGCCTCGCCCTCTGGCCTGCCTCGCCCTCCTCTCGCGCCCTCCTCCTCGCTGACGGCGCCGCCCGCCGCCCTGGCCGCCTCCCCGCCCTCCCTCCCCGCCCTCCCTCCCCGCCCTCCTCCCTCCTCGCCCTCCTCCTCCTCGCCCTCCTGCCTCGCCCTCCTCTCCCCTTGCCCTCCCCGCCCTCTTCCCTCCCCTCCTCGTCCTCCGTCCCCTTTTTCTCCCGTCCTTCTGCCCTCCCAAGGCCCTCGGAGGCCTCCTTGGCGATCTCCACAGACCTCTTGGGGACCTCCGCCCCCCGTCTGAAGGAACGCCTATCCATCAACGGTCTACAGTAGAAACCCATGCCAAGAAACGCAATGCTTGCCTCAAGGGTGCCCTGGGTTTCTTGGGTTTCGATGGTTTCGCTAGTTATGGATGGAACGCGTGGCGCTCCCATACCAAAAGATAATGAACATCCTATTTAGGGTTCGCAGGTTGGACCTCTTGTGAAAGGTTTCTTGTGGTCGAGCTCCTACTGTACTGCTGTCTGCTTGCGGAGATGGAAACTATTCAAAAAGGCCGATTCACCGTTTGGTGAACCACATGATGATTGGCCAGGCATGCAGGCAGTCCACGCAGGACCCCCGCCCCGCTAACCAACAATTGGGTCTACGAAACGGTGGTCAGGAATTCGGGGGTCGATATTTTGATGCTTCAGCCTGTTTTTGAAAACTGGCCCAACCACCAGTGCCCCAGCCACCACTTCGTAAATTCGAACTCTAGGTGTCTTCCCCTTCTCCCATCCACCATGCTCGTCATCCCCTCTCCTCTTCGAAGAACATACGACGGATTGCAGCCAGAGAACTCCCCCCCAAGCACACACAAACAGATCAACCGCTCAACCGTTACATGATAAAGGTTTACCAGTTGACGGGGGGAACGACAGGTACACCGGAATGATTCTATCGGTCTATGGGTTGATGCCACCGTCAACCGATAAACGATGATCCCGGGCTCTTCGTTTGCGCATGGGCCCTTTGGCTCATAAGTTTGTTCGGTAGGTTTATCGGTTCATCGGCGGCGGCTTGTCAGTTGAATAGTGCATCGGTTGATCCGTGTCTTCGGCTTGTCGTTTTAACTAACGGTTTCAAGGAAGCGGAAGCGGCTTATCAGCAACGGTTCTCGGCAGTTCAAGGTCGCTGGGGGTGAGGGTGCATTGCTGGTACTTTACGCCACGGGTCAGCTTGTCTGGAACAAGAGGCAACCACGAAGTACCCAAGAGCCCCCCTAGAGCTCTTCAAGAGGCCTCCGAAAAACTTCCACCACCCATCTTCGAACAGGCATCCAGCAGGCCACTGGCCCATCACCCAGGCATGGCGGCCTCAGGTCCACAACCTCAGTTACCAAGACGCTCGGTCTTGGAGAGGGATGCTGAGGGCGAGGACGACGACGACGAAGGCGACGACGATGATGGCGATGACGATGACGATGGTGATGATGACTACGGTGACGACGACGACGATGCTGATGATGATGATGACGATGATGACGATGATGACGACGGTGACGATGATGATGGTGATGCGGGTGACGATACTGACGATGATGACGATTGCGATTATGACGACGGTGATGACGATGGTTTTGCTGATGGTGGTGGTGATGATGATGGTGTTGCTGGTGATGGTGATGGTGATGATGACGATGTCGATGACGATGACGATGAAGATGCTGGCGATGAGGATGGCGATGGTGACGATTACGAGGATCCCAGCTAGAACTCGAGCGCGCGCGGTGCGCGCGCGATGGTTCTATATATATATATATATATATATATACATACGCATATATATAGGCACACATCTAGCTGCATAGAGAGATGGTAAGAGAGAAAGAGAGGGATATATATATATATATATATATACAACTATATCTATACAGAGAGAGAGAGAGAGACACATAGAGCGAGAGAGAGGGATAGAGAGAGAGAGAGAGAGAGAGAAAGAGAGACAGAGAGAGAGCGAGGCAGATATAGGCACGAACTCATGTAAACAGAGAGATATAGAGGGATTGAGCAATAGTAGCATGGAGGGGGAGGAGTGAGAGAGGGAGAGAGAGAGACAGAGAGAGAGAGAGAGAACATAGATCGAGAGAAAGAGAGGGGGGAATAATGAGAGAGAGAGAGAGAGAAATAAAGAGAGAGAAAGAGAAAGAGAGAGCAAGAGAGAAACAGGGAAAGAGAGAGAGGGAGACAGAGGCAGTCGCCTCAGCCGCAAAAGGTGATGGTAAAGGCATAGGAGGCCATTCCTACTGTCACCGGGCCGTCGAGCTTCGGGGCGTTTTCTGCGCAGGGTTAGCCTCGCGGCCAAGTTCTCTCAATGTCTGCGCTCTCGCCAGGCTCGGCGGCTGTGCAACACTCCATTGCCGCGCTCGTCTTCTCCGTCCAGCTGCCTGCAGCACTTCCCGCCGCCGCGCCAGCGCAGGCAGTGCGGCAGGATCGAGGTTGTGAGTTTAAGACCCCTTCCAGTGCAGTACAGGAGGGGGAGGAGGAGGAGAGGGAGGAGGAGGAGGAGGAGGGAGAGGGAGGAGGAGGAGGAGGAGGAGGAGGAGGAGGAGCAGGAGGAGGAGACGAGGACGAGCGTGGAGGCGGAGGAGGAGGAGGGGGAGGAGGAGGAGGAGGAGGAGGAGGATAGGCTGAGGAGGGAGGAGGGGGGAGGAGGAGAGGAGGAGAGGAGGAGGAGGGGAGGAGGAGGAGGAGGAGGGGGAGGGGGAGGAACCTCCCTCCGTGCTCGCAGCCTCCATCCCCCCCCCCTCTTCCTCCCCTCTGTGGGGACCCTGGGGGGCCCGTCGAGGGAGCCGGGCTCGTCCTGGGCGCGCGAGGGTTCTAGCGAGCTCTCCCCGGGGTCTCGGGGCCGTCTTGCGGCCCCGTTGAGGAGGGGCTCCTCGGGCAGTCCCGCGGCCCTTCCTGCGGCCCTCTCGGGGGCGGTCCTGGGCCGTTGGGGGGCCTTCAGGGCTCTCTGGACTGGAGCTGTCCCGAGGCGGTCTGGAGCGGAAGAGCGTCAGGAGCATGACCTTGCTGGTTGTCGCTGTGCCTGGCCTCCTCGGGCCTCGTCGGAGGCCTCTTTGGCCTTCGGGGGGGCCTCTCGTGATTCTTGGGGTCTCTTGAGGTCTCCTGCGAACATGTTGGACCCTCTGGTGGGCCGTCTCAGGTTGGTATTCGGGTATCCCGCAGCAGTTCTTGGAGCAGAATCTGGCCGTCCTGGAGCTGTCCAGATGCCGAAGAAGGCGCCTGGGTACAGACCTTTGAGGAGGCGATTTCGGAGGGCGTGACTACGAATGGGGTGGGATCGGCCTTGGAAAACTACAGAAACCTTACCAGACAACCACCGCGCATTCTAACACTCCGCCATCGAGCACACGTGCCGATTGACGCGCGCGTGCGACCGTGCATTCTCTAGCTCAGCCTGTCCTTGGTTCAGCTTTGCACGGCCTAGCTTGGCCTGTCTTGGCCCAGTGGTTGCCAAACCTTGCAGTTTAAGTTGGGATTGCGCATCTCAGGTGGGTTTAGCTTCGCTCAGCGCATGTCCTGGCTTAGCTGGTTAGCTACTTAGCCTAGCATCTTCCAGCTCAGCTTGTATGGTAGTAAGCTCGCTCGTCCTAGCCTAGGGTTGTTTCTACTTGGTTCGGCGTCATTCGTGTGTCTGTCCTGCTGCTCCGTCTATCCCTTTGTGTGTGTGGTCCACGCTGGGTAGTCGTGGTCGTAGTAGCGTGGCCTTCTGGGAACCGTGTCCCATCTTGCCCGGACGTCCGCAGGGAGCCCGCGAGCTCGCCCCTTGCCCCAGCGCGCCCTCTGCCCGCGCTCGCGCCGCGACTGCCAGATGAACGAGGAGCCCGGCAGACGAGGACTCGTCCAGGAGTACACGAGGCCTCCCGCCCCCCTTCCCATCGGCGGCCGCCGCCGCGACGGCATCGGCGCCACCCCGGCGGGCACCCAGGAGCGGGTGCAGGTGCCCCAGCAGCGCGCAGGAGGGTGGCAGGACGGCGGCAGGAATGGAGTCGCAGAAAACGGCAGGAGCACCATTCGCCAGGGCTCCGCGCGGATTTCTTGGACTGGCGCTGGCCCCCCCCCCCCTGGCGGTGCCTCCGGCGCCTCCCAGCGCCGATCCGAGGAGTCCTCGCCAAGCTTCGTGAAGTTAGGTTCATGCCGCTCCTTCTTCCTCCAGAGGGACTCAGAGAAGCTGGGCCAGGGCTGGCAATTTCGTGGCTGCTAAAACGATCTTCCCGGAGGAAAGAAACAAACTCCCGGAATAAGGCTCGGCGAACTGAACACTAAACGGGCTGCTTCCCAGAAGAAAAACAACAATTTCCCGGAGCTCCGTTTTAGCAGCCGCGAGTTTGCCAGCCGTCGCCCGGCTTTGAGGGACGCGCCACCATCCCGCATCCATTTGGCAGCCAGGCCGCCTGCGTCGGGCCCCCCCCCCCCCCGGGTGCCCCTCCAGGAGGGGGCTTCGAGAGCTCGCGCCCAGAGGCAGCCGAGGTAGGCGCGCGACGCGTCGGGACGGAGGGCGCGGGCTCGGGAGGGCGGGGTTCTGGGAAAAAGCGATGGCACGCAAACAGTCGGAGGGTGTGCCCATGGCGTTCGCCCCCCCCCCCCCCCCCCCCCCCCCTCTGCCCCGCCCCTGTAGTCGGGCCTGTCCCACTACAGGAGGAATATTCAAAAATAGTCGAAGACATAATTAGTCAGGGGACGATTTTTCCAGTATTTTTGAATTTTGTTTGGAGTATTGTTTCGCTATTTTAGATTTTTTCGTCCAAAATCCGCCTGTAGGGGGACATGCCCGACCTAACCCTTCCCCCCTCGCCCCTCTTCGAAGTGATACTAGCATGCAAGTCGTTTGCGGCTTGCTTCAGGCTCAGGCCGCCCCCCGTCCATGCAAGCCAATTTGCCGGGATCTAAAACAAACAGTTGGAGGTGGATAGACCTCCTACCCTGACACCTCGATTAAGGAATTGGCCGTTTTCGGTTCGCGTCGGGGCGTCGCGGCCGTCATCTTTGCGGGTCCAGGTCCGTCGAATTCGGCCCCAGGCCGTTTTCACTAAGAAGAGGTTTACTAAAGGGAGGTTTGTCCACCGCCGAACCAGGCTCTTGCGTAGGCGTGCTTACGAAGAGGAGAACATGAAAATATACAGTGGGGGCGCGCATCAAGAAATCATCCACTTTTCGTCAGGGCATCCTGGGTGTTTCTTTGCTCCGCGCGCGGCGCCTTTACTTCTTCGCGGCCGCTGAAGGAGCTGCTGCGTTCAGGGTGCTCCAGGCTTTCCCTCCAGTGCACCTCGCGCACGGGCTCTCGGGGTTGGGTATCTTGGGAGGGTTCCTTGCGGCCGCGCCCGCACTGTGCCTTGCGAGGGTTCTTGCGAGGGTTGCTTGCGAGGGACAACACAACACAGAACAGACACACACACACAGCGCATACGACAATGCGCAACACGTGCAACACACAGCGCACACAACGCACACATTGCACAACAACATAACACATAACACGCAAAACACAACACGGAACACACAATACACAACACACAGCGCACAAAACACCTACACACGACACACACACACCACACGCATCATACGTCACACCCAACACGCACAACACATGCAATACACAATGCACCACAACACAACACACAACACACAGCACACAGTACCCACCACACACAGCACGTAACACAGCACACACTCACACACAGCACAACACGCACACAAAACGCAGCATACACACAACACACAACATACAACGCACAAAACACACACACAACACACACACATAGCACACATCACACAATACACAACACACCTAATCCACAACACATCACACCACACACATCACACAACATACCCAGCACACACACGGCACACACACAACGCACACAACAACCACAGCACACCACACATACACACATCACACAACACACAGTACACACAACACAGCACACAACACAACACAATACAACACAAAACATAACTTACACAGAACACACGCACAACATACATACACACGTACACACACCACATACTACACACAAAACACTCAACACACACAGCACGCACCCACACACCCGCACTGGGTCCCCATCCCAGGCGGTTAACCCAGTCGATTCATTTGTGCCACGTCTGCGCTCCAACTAAACAAGCACATCCCTCTCCGTCCTCCCTCTCCCCTCCCCTATCTCCCATCCTTCCTCTCCGCCTTTCTGTTCCCTCCTCCTCCGCCCTTGCTCTTGCTTATTGCTGTCTCCCTCTCGCCCACTTTTTACTTTCTTTTCGCCTCTCCTTCCTTCTTCCCCCCTCCCCCCACCTGCCACTCCTGCCACCCGCCACCCCCCTGACGCTGCTAGTGTAGACTGCCAACGGTTCTGCGAGCACTCGCGAATCTATGCAGGTACACCCGACGCTGGGGTATCGGACGCCTCCGCTCGGGTCCACCTGGCTGCAATCGTTCTTCACATTCTGAACCCCCGCCAGTATTTCCAGAAACCCAGCCTTAAGGGGTAGGAGGGCAGGGGTCACATGTGGCTGTCTAACAGTCGAGCGTGGCAGTCGGCGCCAACGTTCCCGATGGCACCCCGCCAGCTCCAGGAGATCACTCTCTCCCTGAGACCCGGGCGTTGCATTTTCTCACACCGGGCGTCTGAGCTCAGTTTCGAGCCCCGTGGCCATCACAGACCGATCCGGCCCGAAACATGATATCTTGCGCGATGTTGAACGTTTTGTTCGCCACGTCGGATCTCAGGCGAGTGGCTGCCACCGAGGCCCGGCCGGCGAGCCTTCAGAGGCCACTGCCAGCGCGGCGGGGAGGTCGCCCCCAGCTCTCAAAGATGCCGTGGCCGCTGCCATCGCGGTGCGCGAGCTCGCGTGCGGCAGCAATCGGGCCGGCCTGACAGCGCGTTGAGCGCAGTCCCAGCCGCAGCTCGCCGACGTAGCGGCAGATCTTCCACGTCCATCTTCCAGCCCTCCTTCCAGTCCTTCCCAGGCCTCGCCGTTAGCGGCGAGCGCCCTGTTTGCGCTGGGCGCAGAAGTGGTCTTGACCCCTGCCTCGATCGAAACGTTTTAGTGTCTGCGTCTGACGCTGGCGAGCGTCGCACAGCCGTCCGTTGGACGGGTCGCCGCTGCGTAAGTACCCCGTGCCGAGAAGGTCGAGAGCTTCCTGCCTCGAGGAGCGCGGCTCCCCTGCATGTTGCGCCCGCGCTGCGCGGAGGCCTTGGCGCGCTGCGCGCGTGCGCGCGTGGCGCCCCAGCAGTCACCTGCCAGATGTGCACTGCCTCCCCCTCGGCCTCTCCCTTCCCTCCCCCTCCCCTCCCCCATCTCCTCCCCTGCCCTCTCGTCTTCGCGTCGCCCTTCCTCTCCTTCCCGCTGCCCTCCGCCTTCCGCCCTCCGCCCTCCCCCAAGAAGAGGCCGGGCAGCGCCTACGTGGTGTCGCGGGAGTTCCCGCCACGGCCCGGCTCGGCGGCCCAGCAGGCCATGCGCGGGTCGGCGGGTCCGCTCTGTCTTCCCGCCTGCTCCTCCTCCTCCTCCTCCTCCTCCTCCTCCTCCTCCTCCTCCTCCTCCTCCTCTTATTCCTCTTCCTCCTCCTCCTCCTCCTCCTCCTCCTCCTCCTCCCATCCTCCTGCTGCTCCTCCTGCTCCTGCTCCTGCTCCTCCTCCTCCGCCTCCTCCGCCTCTTCCTCCTCCTCGTCGTCGTCCTCCTCCTCCTCCTCCCACCTCCCACCTCCTCCTCCCACCTCCCACCTGAGGGGCCAGAGCTGTCGTCGGGCATGCCCGGGCAGACGACAGCTCGCTCCAGCGAGAGCCTGGCGGAGCGGTGTGGAGCGGCCGCGGCGCCCGACGCACCCTCCAGGTGCGCTGACTCTCAGAGGTCTCGGAGTTACTCAGGAGAGGAAAAAGCACACAGACACAATTAATCGTCGATTCCCAGGAAAATATGGGAAAAGATGGGAAGTGGGGGGGAAGACAAAAACCCAGAAAATATGGGAAAATATGGGGAATTCTTTTATTTGTGTGTATTTATTTGTGTGTCCTGGGGCGCCTTCAGTTACCTCGGCCCGGCTTTGTCTCCCCGCTGCTGTCGTCTTCTGTTGCTTCTCCTTTTCGATGCAGCCACTAGCATCGTCTGATGTTGTTGCGAGGCCATGATCTTCAGGGGACGCACCGTGCCGCCATTCAACCCAATCGTGCGTCGTTCGTTCGCGTGCTGCTCTGCACTGTCACTGCCTTTGGGGGGGCCTCGACTCGCCTGGCACGCAATTCTTACCTGAACAGGAGCACGCCTCTGACCGGCAATGGAGCGGTGCAATTCTGACCTCCATGGTCGCTCCAGCTTTTGCAAACAGAGCCCACAGACCCCAAATGTAGGCGCCAGCGTTGCAAAAACCTGTTGACGGGCACCGTTCAGCGAGGTGCGGCCTTATCGAAGGCTCAGTCCGACTCCACTGGTTCGATTCGCAGCGAGTTCAGGGGGGGGCGATTCCATGCCGAAACTCCGATGCGTGGCTCCCATGTCGAGGTCACCCGATCGATTCCGATGCCGATCAATATGATTCGATTTCGTGCCGAGCCAGCGTCGACCCAATCTCGTGAATCTCGTGAGGGAACGACGAGTACGACGAGTAGGAGTGCGAGTAACTGGGATCGAGCGCGAGGCATCGACCTCCCTTCCGTGACCCCCCTTCGAGAGGGAGTCCAGGGGGCAAAGCTCTCCCTTGCCGCAGCCCCCGTCTGGGACCTCGAACCATCGGCGTCACCCCAAAATACAAATACCCTGTAACGCCCCTCGCGGGGGTAGAAACCAATTTAATCACAGCCACTCTCTGGAACGTCGTCGTGACGCTTGTTGCTAGCCTTACCGCGTTCTCCTCCTCATCATCATTTTTGTCTCTCCTCCTCCTCCTCCTCCTCCTCCTCCTTTTCCTCCTCCTCCTCCTCCCCCACACCACCTTCGGCGTGATGGACCATGGGACCTCAGGGGGCCTCCTGGGTATCCCGGGGGCCTCCTGGGACAGCGGCCTCTGGGGATCTCCTGAGACCTCCAAGGCTCTCCCAGGGTATCCTCAGCACTCCAGGGGCGTCCTCAGCGTTCTGGAATTTTTCGGGTCGTTCAGGAAACTCCAGGGGCTTCTCGGGATCTCCTGGGGCCTCGTGGAACCTCGCAGGGCAGCCCGGGGCCGCGGAGGCGCGGGGCCCCCCGAGGTTGCGCGGCTTGCGCCCAGTGCTCGCAAGCGCGCGTGCCGCCACGAGGCGCGGCAGCGCCCAGGAGGGGATGCGCCGTGAGCCGAAAAATTAAAAATACCCCAAAAATGCTCCAAACAGGTTCAAAAATACGAAAAAATTAGTCCCCGGACTATTTTTGGACTATTTTTTATTATTTTGGGGGTATTTTTAATGTTTCGTCAAAAACCCCACTGTAGGGGGACACGCCCGACCTAAGGCTAGCTGGCGGGGCCGGCGACCGAGGTTGATTCCGACATGACTGTGACGGTGGTGGTGGTGGTGGTGGCGATGGCAACGACGGTGGTGATGCTCGGTATCGTCTAGCCGACCCCCATCCCCACCCTCATCCCCTCCGAGACCCCCGCCAAATTACCACCCCAGTTGGGGATGCACCCCTCGAACTCCGAAGGCAAGGGCCTGCATATGTCCCCACCTAGGGAGGTACATCGGCCAGTGGGGCTCAGGCCACGCCGCTGGGGATGGTGGTCGGATAAACGATGCTCAGATGCTGCTCCTGATGGTCTGGCTGATGATGGTGATGAATGACGAAGGTGGTGATGATGGCAACGACCACGGCTAAGACGACGATGATGGTGATGATTATCATGATGTTGAGGATGACGGTGCTGGTGCTGGTGGTGGTTGGGATGACGATGCTACCATAACGACGACGATGATGATGTTGACGATGATGCTGATGATGCTGCTGGTGGTGGTGATAATAATGATAATGATGATGACGATGATGATGATGATGATGCTGATGCTGATGCTGATGCTGATGCTGATGATGATGATGATGATGGTGATGGAAATGTAGTTGATGATGATGATGATGATGATGATGATGATGATGATGATGATGATGATGATGATGATGATGATGATGAGTAGTGTGATGATGATGGTGGTGGTGATGATGCTGATGATGATCATGGTGGTGATGCTGATGATGGTGATGATGATGGTGATGGAGATGGTGATGGTGATGGTGATGGAGATGGTGATTATGGTGGTGATGGTGATAGTGATGGTAATGGTAATGATAATCATGGCGATGGTGGTGATGATGATGATGCTAGTAGTTATCTGATGACGGTTTTTGTGGCGACGCAGGTATGGTTGATGATGATTGTTATGCTGCTGATGATGATCATGATGCTGATGCTGATGCTGATGCTGATGCTGATGCTGATGCTGATGATGGTGCTGCTGGGGATGATAATGCTGCCTGTGACGATGCTGGTGATGGTGATGATGGTGATGACACTGGTGACGGTGATGATGATGACGACGAGGATGAGGGCCACGATGACGACGATGACGACAACGACGACGACGACATGAACGATGATGAATCTGTGATGATGGTGCTGATGATTACGACGATGCTGCTGCTGATGATGATGCTGATGATGACGACATTTACCATTATGATGATGATTGTGGTGGTGATGATGGGCATGATGATGTTGGTGGTGATGATGATATGATGCTGATAATGATGATAATGATGATGACGTTTGTGATCATGATGACTATGATGGTGATGAGGATGATAGTGATGATGCTGACGATGATGATGATGTTCATCAACTTGCTGATGACGATGACGATTATTATGATGATGATGATACTGATGATGATGATGATGATGATGATGATGATGATGGTGATGATGATCATGACGACGACCGTGACGATGCCGACGACGCCGCCGACGACGACACATTGATGATGCTGATGATGATGCTGATGCTGATGATGATGATGATGCTGATGATGGTGACAAGGACAACGGCGGTGGCGACGACGACGACGATGCTGCTGCTGATGATGATGATGATGATCATGAGGAGTAGGAGGAGGAGGAGGAGGAGGAGGAGGAGAGGGTGTGGATACTGCTGCAGATGCAGATGATGATGATGATGATGATGATGATGATGATGATGATGATGATGCTGGTGGTGGTGGTGGTGATAATGATGATGATGATGATGATTATCTTTAGTATTATTGGTATGATGATGATGATGATGATGATGATGGTTACGCTGCTGGTGATGCTGATGATGGTGGTGATGGGACTGGTGCTGATGACGATGATGATTGTGATGATGATGGTGGTGGTGGTGGCGATGATGATGATGATGATGGTGGTGGTGGAGATGATGATTATGATGATGGTGATGGTGATGATGATGATGCTGATGATGATGATGATGATGATGATGATGATGATGGTGATGGTGGTGATGATGATGATGATGATGATGATGATGATGATGATGATGATGATGATGATGATGATATGATGATGATGATGATGATGATGATGATGATGATGGTGGCTGGTGGTGGTGGTGGTGGTGATGATGATGATGATGATGATGATGATGATGAGGAGGAGGAGGAGGAGGAGGAGGATGAGGAGGAGGAGGAGGAGGAGGCGGAGGAGGAGGCAGGAGGAGGAGGAGGAGGAGGAGGAGGAGGAGGAGGAGGAGGAGGAGGAGGAGGAGAGGAGGAGGGGGAGGAGGAGGAGGAGAGGAAGGAGGAGGAGGAGGAGGAGGAGGAGGAGGAGGAGGAGGAGGCGGAGGCGGAGGCGGAGGCGGAGGCGGGCTGAGGAGAGGAGGAGGAGGAGGAGGAGGAGGAGGAGGAGGAGGAGGAGGAGGAGTAGGAGAGGAGGAGGAGGAGGAGGAGGAGGAGGAGGAGGAAGAGGACGGTGAGGTGGGTGTGGACGGGTACGAGGAAGAGGAGGGAGGATGAGAACGAGGAGGATTCGGATGCGGAAGGGTATGGCGAGGTGGAGGGAGGTTGGGGACGAGCACGAGGATGCGGACCGGGACGAGGGCGAGGAGGAGGGGGAGGGGGAGGAGGCGGCGGGGGACGTCGAAGATGAGGACGCCCCTCCGCTGACGCCGGCCCGTGCCAAGGGCTCCTCTTTGTCGTCTGGCTCCAGGCCGCCTCTGGGCGCTGCTGCCAGCGGCGGGCTGGGGACGGGGCGTGGGGGCACGCGATGGATGAAAGCGGTCCTGGGGAAAAGAGCTTCCGAGGTTTTTCGGCCTTCTTCGAAGAAGCAGACACGGCATGATCATACACTTCTCCGGCGCTCCGCGCGGATTGCTTGGATCCGCGCTCTGGGCATCCCGGGCGGCGCCTGCGGCGCCGCCCCTGGCGTGAGCCGCGCGCCAGGGAGAGGGGTCCAGCGCAGCTGCAAGAAGTCCGTGCGGAGCGCCAAAAGTTTACGTTTGTGCCGTTTTCTCAGTTCTCCCACAAACAGTCAAATTTGCCTGAGGGTCATCCTTCCCGCGGCCCCCATACAGGAGGAGGAGCAGGACTAGGAGTAGGAGGAAGAGCTCGAGGAGGAGGAGCAGGAGGAACAGTGTTAACCCGAGGCGCATCAATGATATTGCAATGTATCCTCCCTCCAAGTTCCTTCTCCATTGGGTTCTACAGTAGTATATCTCCATTGCGGGAACTGCCCCCCCCCAAAAAAAAGAGTCTGAGAATCCTCAATCGTGACAAACCACCTTTCATAGGACTTCAGCGTTGCGAGTCAACATGACTGTTGCTTCATAACACTCTTAAATCGTACCGAGGCGCTGTTCCTGGGACGTCAGCGTCCCGATTCAATATTCGCACTGCGTTCTGACAGTCCTAAACTGTGCCAGAGCACCGTGCCTGGGTCTTGATCCGCGGATCAACTTTGAGTGTTGCTTCCTGACAAGCCCAATGTGTGCGAGAACGCCGCTCCTGGGACTTCGATCATACGAATCCTTGGAGAGCTGTACAGTTTTAAAACGAATTTGCGCGGTGCTAATGCGAGAGCCACATTTTGAATCATAATTTCATTTCATCCTTGAATTTGCTCAATGTTTTAGCACGAATGTGCGCGGCGCCAGCACGAGAGCAACATGTTGAAAACCACCTGCCCTACATCCTTGAAGTTGCCGCAAATATTGAAGCTTCAGGATCGTGAATGGTGTTGACATGTCAGGCGAAACGCCCAGCCCGCCTTGTCGACACGTCTGTTGGTAGGACAGGGCGGAGCTGCTTTTAAGGAACATAGATGGAGGGGAGGCGGAGGATCGAGGATCGAGGGTGCGCTTTTGGCCCCTGCTGCGCCCCCTCGGGAGCCTCCGCGCACCTCTGGAAGGCCTCCTCGTAAACATCCGCCCACCAAAGGGGGCACCGCGGATGTTGCGGCGCGCCCTCGCGGCCTCGACCTCCCTTCAGATCCTCAGCGACACCGCAACGGGTGCCCACTAATGGGAATGCTCTAGAGATTTGCGGAGAGTTGCCATTTTAGGGGCCCTTATTGGCATTGAAGTGTTGCCCACATCGGGGAGGGTTGGGTTCGCCGGGCCACTGGCCAAAGTACCCGTTAGTGAAGTCCCTGTTAGAGTGGCGCTGAGATCTTGGCGTTGCAACTTTTTCACACCAGGCGTTTTCGTTTGGTTTCGGGCCCTGGATTGTCACCGCAGCAAGATGGGGTGTGGGGTCTGGCCGTAACTTTTCGCGACGCTGCATTTTTTCGCAACGTCGGATCTCAGGGAAGGTCCCCCTTTCCCTCGGGTGGACAGCAAGTCAGCATAGTCTACCTTATCCCTGTGCCCATGGGGCCACGGTATATCACCCCCATGAGCCCACCCTCCCAGGTGGGGATAGGCCCTACGAAACCCGAAGGAGCATGCATACATCCCCGCCGACACCCCATGGACATGTAATGTTTCCAATTTCTTGACCACCCCTGGACGAGCGATCTCAATGTTAGAAAGAGCGTGTTCTACCGCTGCTGGCGGAAAACCGGGGGGGGTCACTACCGGTTCGACCCCCCCCCCTCAGGAAAACCAGGGGGGGTCACTACCGGTTCGAACCCCTCCCCCCCCCAGTCCATCATGAAAAGGGGGGGGGTCACTACTGGTTCGAACCCCCCAACCCCCCCCTCCCCTACGGAAAACCATGGGGGGTCACTACCGGTTCGACCCCCCCCCTCCTCGAAAACCGTGGGGGGGTCGCTACCGGTTCGAAACCCCCCCCTCTCCCCTTTACCGCCAGGCCGTGGAGAGTGGGGACATTGGCACACTGCTGGGGGCACTGGTGGGGACAGCGGGGACAATGGTGGGAACAGTGGGGACAGTGGGACAGTGGTGGGGACGGTGGTGGACAATGGTGGGAACAGTGGGGACAGTGGGACAGTGGTGGGACGGTGGTGGTGGGGACGGTGTGGGGACAGTGGGAATGTGGTGGAAACAATGGGACAGTGGAAGGTACAGTGGTGGTGGGGAGAGTGATGAGGGCTGTGGCGAGGACGGCGGTGGGACAATGGGACAGAGGTACAGTGGGGACAGTGGTGGGGACAGTGAGGACAGTGGTGGGAACAGTGGGACAGCTCAGTGGGACAGCAGAGGAGACAGTGGGACAGTGGGGACAGTGGGGGCAGTCGGGCAGTGGTTGGGGCCGTGGAGAAAGTGGGGGAGAGTGGAACCGTGGTGGGAACAGTGGTGGGGACAATGGGGACAGTGCGACAGTGGTGGGGGCACTGGTGGGGACAGTAGGGACGGTGGTGAAACCAGTGGGGACAGTGGTGGTGAGGACAGTGGCGCTGGGGACAGCAGTGGGGGATGTGGTGCGGACGGTGGTAGGGACCGGGAGTCGTTTGCTGGCGGTGAGCGCTGGAGGGGAGGGTAGTGACCCCCCCCGGTTTTCGAGGGACGGGGGTTCGAACCGGTAGTGACCCCCCCCGGTTTTCGAGGGGGGGGGTGTTCGAACCAGTAGTGACCCCTGCCGGTTTTCCGGAGGGGAGGGGTGGGGGTTCGAACCGGTAGTGACCCCCCCCTCGGTTTTCCGGAGGGGGGGGTTAGGGGAGAGGGGGGGTTTTACAGGGAGAAAGGGGGGGGGTCCAGCAGGGGGGGGGGGCATTTTCGGAGGGGGGAGGGTACCCCCGGGTTCTGGAGGAAGAGGGGGGGATTTTTCCACAGTAAAGCGGCGGTGGATCACGCTCTCTCCAATGTTAACACAGCCGCGGCCGACGGCGGAAAGGTCGGATCGCGCGGCGCCCTGCGCGAACATTGACATTGAGGGGCGCGGGGGGACAGACTGCGCGCGAGACTTGCATTACTTGTTCAAAATGGTGTGGGTGGGTAAGTCGGCCATGAGGGCCAAGGCGACGCCAGCGGGGATAGGGATATGTCGTGCGATGCTCATCCTCGCGGGGTCCACGATGTGTTCGCCACCAACGCCCGCGGGCCTGCGCGGCGAAGGCCGCGCGTGGTCTGAAGTGCGCGTTGGCGATCAGGCTGAGATTCGCTTCATAGGGGAGGGAAACATCTGTACCGATGCCACTGCTCGTCCTAGGGACCCCTCGTCGTCACGGCTGGATTCGCCCCGAGATTCTGCTCTGAACCCCGCCCAGGAAGCGTCCATGGAGTAGCGGTGTGGGCATCTTTCTGTTTTCCCATCGCCTCCGCGGGAGGGCGCGCTGTCGAGCGTGGCGCTCGCCGCGCGCGTTTCTCCGCCCTCCCCCTTTTCCTCCTTCCCGTCCCTCTCGTCGGCCCCCCCCGGCGTCGAATTGCTGTGCCGTCCAGGCCGCCTTGGGGGTCGAGCTGTTGCAACCGTCGTGCGAGAATGCTGCTACCGTCTGCAAGTGTGTATCCGTCGTCCTAGTTGACTCCCTCCTCGCCCGATCCGCCCGTCATCAGCCATCCATCCCTCCCCGCTTGCGCGCTCTGTTCGCCCTGGGCAGGTTGTCGCGCTTGGTGGCCTCCTCCAGTCGTCTTTGTCTTTCTTCTCCCCTTCCTCTCACGAGGTGGAGGAGGAGGAGGAGGAGGAGGAGGAGGAGGAGGAGGAGGAGGAGGAGGAGGAGTGGGAACAGCAGCAACAGCGACATGAGGAGTGGTGGTAATGGGAAGGGTGGTTATAATGATGAGGATGAGGGTGGAGAAGGAGGTGGAGGAGGGAACGAGAGGGAAGTGGAGAGAGGGAGAGGGAGGGGGCCAGGGACGACCGCAGCGCCTCATACTTAGGTTTGGTAGCTGGTTTCGCAATATGCGTGTGCGACTCGTACACAACATGTTCGATATTGCTCTCCGAAGCCCTCACATGTCGACGGTTAGGGGATCGGGGTTGCTCTTTTTCTTCCTCCTCTTCCTTTCCCTGCAACCCCCCACCGCCCCCTCCTGCGCCCACCTCGCCTCCACATCGCCCCGATACCCCCACCTTCTGGGACCTTTGTTTTTTTGAAGCCGCCGCCCTGCAATTTGGCACCGACCCCCCACCTCGCCTCCACCTCGCCCCGACACCCCCCTTCCGCAGTCTCCGCATCCACCTCGTCCTCGTCCTCCTCCTCCTCCTCCTCCTCCACCTCCTCCTCCTGCTCCTCCTCCTTCTTCTCTCCTCCTCCTCCTCCTCCTCCTGCTCCTCCTCCCCTCCTCCTCCTCCTCCTCCTCCCCCTCCCCTCCCCCTCCCCCTAATCCTCATAGTCCTCCTCCTCCCCCTCTTCCTTCTCCTCCTCCACATCCTCATCCTCTTCTTCCCTCGCCTTCCTGAGCCCTTGACCCGCAGAGTGCGGGTAGTGATCTTTCTCCTCCTATTGGAGCTCAGGCAGGTGCTGCTGGGAGCTGGGCGCGGTGGAGCCGAGTCGGCATCAGCGGCGCCCCGGGCGGAGCCAGAGAGAGCCAGCTGCTGGCCCTGGCTTAGACTGCCCCCCGAAGCCAAGGTCGGGCATGCCTTCCCTCGTCTCCGCCTCCCTGCCTCGCAGGCGCGCTGCCCTCCGCGCCCCCCCTCCGATCCCCCCCCCCCCTGCACGGCCGTGCCGCAAGCGGGGGGCCGGGCGAGGCTTCGGGCGGCCCGCCGCCAGCCGCGGCGGCCCCGGCTCGCGGGCGGGGTCCCGGGCTGGGTCGCAGTCCAGGCCGGGCGAGGGGCTGCTCCGGGGGAACTGGGGGGCAGTGGGGGGGTTCGGTGGCAAGTCAGGGGAGCCTGGCACACCCTCCCCTCTTAATTCCGTCTTCAGCGTCGATGAGCGTCGGGGAGTCGATGAGGTAGCGCCGATTTCGCGACTGCTGGCGTCGATTAGCGTCGATTTAGCGTCGACTAGCGTCGATTCGCAAGAGCCGACAAGATGGTATGGGAGGCTCCCATGAGTTGCCACCGAAGGGGAGAGGGTCAGAGGAGCATCGGGATCCCGCAAACAGGTGTGTGTGTGTGTGTGCGCGTGCCCCGGGGCGTGTGTGAGTTCGATCGGTTTTGCACCGAGCCGCCCAAAGCAGATGCCCCCACGCCGCCGGCAGCTCCCGATAGTTGCCGATAGGTGGGGCAAGCGGGGGGCATCTGTTTGCGGCAGTGCGGTGCACTAGCGGATCAAACTCATGCCCCCCTCCGGGTCACCCCCCGTTTAGTGGATCCCGATCAGTGGAGGATGAGGGGCACCGATGCCGCTACTTCTCATGAAGATCCTGGAGGCCTCGTGCGGCGCGAATGGTCGTACGATGCAGGCTGCATGTCTGCCCCGCAGGGTACGGGACGGCCTTCGCGCAGCGGTGCTCTGGCGTCAGTCCGACGTGAATCTGATGTAAATCCGATGTACGTCCGATGTAATCCGACGTGGACCCCGCGTACATCCGACGTGGATCCGACGTAAGTTGAGTCTCAAGTTGCCGCGCAAGGCCTCCCAGATTTTCGGTACAACGCTACCGGTGCCTCGTTTTCGCCTTGTTGGGCCTCCCGGGAGGCCCTCATCGCCACGGCTGGATTCGCCTCGAAAGTCTGATCCGAGCGCACCCTAAGAGAGGTCCAGGGAGTAGCGGTATCGGTACCTTTCGGTTTCCCCAGCTCGCGGGGAGCTGGGAGCCATGGTGGATATTGGCGGGGGGATGGGGGAATGCAGGGGGAGGGGAACGGGAGGGGGGTGGAGGAGGAAGGGGTTGAGGGGGAGAACTGAGGTCGGGCGGCTGGGATGAGGAAGAAAAGGATGAGAAGGAGGAGGAACATCAGAAGCATGGGTAAGGGAGACGTAGAGGAATAATATTGGAGGAGGAGGAGGAGGAGGAGGAGGAGGAGGAGGAGGAGGAGGGGGAAAGGAGGGGGAAAGGAGGATGATCTGTACGAAAAAGAAGAGGAGACAGGAGGAGGAGGAGGACAGTATAGGAGCTGGAGTACGACCAAGAGAATAATGAGGAGGCGCAGGAGGAGAAGGACACCGAGGAGAAGCTGCAGCAAGATTATGATTAAGAGGAGGAGGAGGAGGAGGAGGAAGCGGAGAAGGAAGGAGAGGAGGTGAGAAGGAGGAGGAGGGAGGTGGAGGTGAGGATAATGATACGGACCAGCGTATGGATGCGTTTGTGCTGAGGTATCAGGGCTCGGTAGCTCCGTTTACTTGAGAATCAAGGGTAGAGTTTGCGTCGTGAGCATGCTGTTTGCTCAGGCAGATGGGGGCGAGTAGAAGGCACATGAAGAGGATCACAGTGCGACTCAGATAGAGTCTGTATGTGCGACTGGTTCGCCACTGAATAGGTGAATATGTAAACGCTTCGGTCACGAAAGAGAGCTCTGCAGCCACGCGTAGCATGGTTTTCGTTATGCCTCCAGGGTGTATTTCCGAGGCCTCTTGAGTGCCCCAGGGGGGCGCGGCGTCGCGCGGCGTATTTGGGGTCCGTGGGGGGAATCTTGTGGTGGTGTTTGGCTGTTCTGGGGGCTCTAGGATTAAATCGGGCGTGTCCCTCGACAGGAGGAATATTCAAAAATAGTCAAAAATAGTCAGGGGACGATTTTTCAGTATTGTTTCAATGTTTTTTGCGTATGTTCTGAGTATTTTAAATTTCTCCTCCAATATCCGCCTGTAGGGGGACACGCCCGACTCAACTCTAGGGGCGATTGGGAGTTCCTTGGGCTGCCTCGGGAGATCTTGTGTCGCGGGGCTGCCTTGAGGGATTTGGGGGCCCAGGGCTGTGTGCGACCTGGTGTTGCCTTGGAGGGACTGGGCGCCGCCTGGGGTGGTCTTGGGGCCAATCTCAGGGTGCTCTTGGGCCGCATCGGAGCCGTGCTGGGGGTCAGTCTTGGCCTATCATGGGGCTGCTTTTGGGGGGGTTCTTGTGCCGTTGCTCGGCAGTCTGCAGCTCCCCAGAGGGTCCGGAGCAGGAGACGGAGCAGCAGCATAGGGACAGAGCACGGGGGTGAAGGGGCCCTGAGACACACAAATAAATACACACAAATAAAAGCATTCCCCATATTTTCCTACATTTTCTGGGTTTCTGTCTTCCCCCACACTTCCCATATTTTTCTATAATTTCTTGGGAACCGACGATTAATTGTGTCTGTGTGTTTTTTCCCCTCCTGAGGAAGGGCAAGCTGAAGAGGGGGACAGCTGCCCGCATGCGTGTCATGGTGCCAGCGCTTGGGCCCCTAAGCTGTAGGTTCTCTTGCTCGCAGCGTGCAGGGTCTAAGGTACAGGGTGCTGGCCACGTGGCCCCAGCCATAGGACGCCTTCAGGGTACCATCCGTCAAGCAAGTGCTGCTCAGACGGTAGCGGGAAGCAATTACTGGACGCTCCCCCTCCCCCCTAAGACTCACAGTTGGCACGCGCGGGGGAGTCTGCGGTCGAGGTGAACTCATCAGACCCACCGCCAGCTTTGAACACTGGGGGGAGGGGGATGCGTTGACAGACGAATGTGGCATGCGTGTTCGCTACTTTTCCGAGGCCTGCAGAGCACCGCTCGGCGGCGAGCCCAGGGGGGAAGTCCGTGGGGGCGGGCCTTCTCAGCAGGCCCGGAGGGTCTGCGGCCTCCCGAACAGCCTTCCGAGAGCCTTCTCCGAAGGCACAGCGACGGCCCCTCAGGAGGCCGGCGCGGCCTCTGGGCAGCACGTGGCAAGCACGGCACCATGGGGCATGAACCACACAGTGGAGGCCCATGCCAAGAAACACCCTGCTTGCCTCCAGGATGCCCCAGGTTTCTTGGGTTTCGAGGGTTCTGCTGAGGAAAGCGTGACGTTCCCACACCCAAAATCCATGGACATCCTGGGGTCTCAGGGTTGGGTTTTCTTGTTGAAGGTTTCTTGTGGTCGAGCCCATACTCAAGGGCATAAAAACGCCCCTAACCTGGTTTACGAGGCGCTGTGCGCTGAAACTCTTGTGGGCTGACAGGGTAAACCCTGCGTGATGTGCGGCGTCCTGGCGGCTCTCTAGGCTTTGGGGGTTCCCGGGAGGTTTACAGACCACGCACTTGTAACCCAGGGTAGGGTCGTTTTTTCTTCCCACAACCTACTGTAACCATATGGCACCAACCAGCACGACACAAACCATAATGCAGAGGCGCGCCGACGGTCAACTACGACGCGCAGGGCCAGCTCCTCAGAAGCCACGTGAGACCCCCCAGAGTGTGACCATTGCCTGGGGGACTTCATCACCACGAGCCATTGGCTGGTTGTGCATGCGTGTATGCCTCTGTATGTATCTGCCTGTGGCTGTGTGCATTGCGGGGGTCTGTTTGCGTATCCGCTTGTCACGAATGAACCAGTAAGGGGGAATATGGTCTTAGCGCAGGAGAGATACCAGGAGCGATTGGACATAATAGCGACCGGAAGGGGCACCAGCGTGTCCTGCTGATGGGCGGAAGCGCAGAGCGAAATCTCAGGTGACAAGCGTAGGGTAACGTGATGGACGAGTGGGGCACGAGAGAGTGATGATGATCTGATGATGTGTGGGCTCGTGGTGAGGCCAATCGATATATTGGAAGACGAGGACGCTCCGGATTGTGTATGGGCTTGCATATCTAGCACATCTTATGTCGCTCGAGTTCGTGGGTGGTTTTGAGATCATTCCCTCGTATATACTATTAACCGCTGTCTGTACTTAGTTCACGTTTTGTTGATAATTCTTCTTTGTTCCCTAGGTAAGATTTGCACTCAGCGTGCAGTCTCGCTGAGCTTGTGTGCTATCGTCACGCTCACTACCAAGTATTTCTGCTGGTCTTTGTGCACTGCTTGAGATCTAGCGGCCGCCCGAGACAGAGTCGGTAAGACATGTCTGCTCCGCATCTGTCCTTCATTCCTCCATCTTCTCCTCACTATTTGTTCCTCTTTATTTGCTCTTCCCCTCTCAAAATCATTGCCACTCTCACTCTCATTAAGCATCGCCCACGCTAACATCCCCCATTCGCACACTCAACCACCTGCCCTCTCACTCACACTCGCTTTCACCTTTCAGTCCCGCTCACAGACGCTCACCATCACCCGCTCGCACTCACACTCGCTCGCTGTCGCTTCTGAGCCTCACGACTACTACCATCACATGCTAACAAGCGCAGCTTTGTGGTCTTCATGGGGGGGCGAATATGTGGCCACCATGGGTCCGAAGGTAGTGTTTGGGTAGTGCCGTATAACGAGGCGTATGCACATCTTAGTGAATTGAAATTTGATCATCAAGTGTCAGCAGGCGTTGCACATGGGCCTTGAGGAGGGGTGGGCTTCGGAAAATCATAACTGGCCCTTTCGGTGCCGCCAATTTCGGGACAGCTTTGGGTCTCTCTGCAGAGCTTCATGGCACGCACGTGCTAGCAGGGACATGCTTTGGGTCTCCCAGGGGTACTGTTAACCAGGGTATTAACTTGGATCCGTTCGTATCTGGATGTGTGTTGGTGCTCGGTGGTGTACCAATTCTTCGATGTACAGTGGTACCCGTAACGCCTCACGGCCTCCAGCCAGCTTATCCAGAAACGATCCCCAAGCGAGTCGCCCTGATCAGACGTATAGCAGCACGATTATATGTGTCACTTCTAAAGGCCTTCGCGGATCATTCGCTGTGGGAGCATCTCCAAGTCTTGGTGGAGCCATGTTTGAGCTCTCTTTGGGCCCTGAGGGAGCCCTCAGGGCGCTCTTTGGGTTCTCTTGTCGCTTTGTTGGGGCCATCTTGCAGAACATCGATCAACGAAGATAGAGTTCTTCGGCAGGATGACACATCGCCTCTTTGGGCATTCCTGGGGCGCTCTCGCAGTCTTGGGCGCGCTTGGTGCCGTCTTGGAGCCCTATGGTTTCCTTATGTGGCCATGTTAGGCCCATCTTGAGGCTTTAGAAACGATTCGAAGTTATCTTCAGCCACATTTGGCTATGCGATGTCAGCGTTAGGGACATATGGGTCAATATGGGCCGTCTTGGGGCTATCCTGGACGCCCTGACGCGTTGCGGTCACCCCTTTCCAGATCCAAGGGGGGGAGGGCTAAACCCCTCCCCGGAGGCGGAGAAGTGCGAGGGAAGAACGAGCTCGTTCAATGACCCTGCGCGCCGAGAGTGGGTCGGATTCGAGCGGTCGCCACACGTTGGCATCATTCTTCTTGGGCTGGTCGGGGCCCAATGTGTCTTTCACATGTTTCACATGTGCATGCCATCGAAGGATATCGCGACGCGCGCGTTCTCTTGCCAGCAGAGTGAAAAATTCGATTGTACGTGGTCGGTGGTTCTTCGAACGAGATCGGGCGCCTTACCACCATGCCCGTGCCAGTTAGACCCTTCGATCATTTGATTCGAGACGATTCCCGTTCACCGCCCGCCCATTCTAGTTCTTGTCAGGCGAGCCGAACCTGGCCCCGACATGGGCCAAAGACACGACGAACGAACTCTAAGACGGTCCCGCGTGAGTCTTCACCAGGGTCACACCCGGGAATCACTGCTCGAGCGGGTTGCCCAGCCCGCCCTGCCGACGCGTCTGGCGGTGCGGCCAGGAGGATGCACTTCATCAAGCGAGTGGGCGGAGGGAGGCGAGAGGCAGACGCCTGGAAAGAAGGAGAACGATACCGCGGAGGAGGAGGAGGAGGCGTGCGCCACCGCGGAAGATGGAGGCTCCTCCTCCTCCTCCTCCTCCTCCCCCTCCTCCTCCTCCTCCTCCTCCTCCTCCTCCTCCTCCTCCTCCTCCTCCTCCTCCTCCTCCTCCTCCTCCTACCTCCTCCTCCTCCTCCTCCCCTCCTCCCTCCCTCCTCCTCCTCCTCCTCCTCCTCCTCCTCCTCCTCCTCCTCCTCCTCCTCCTCCTCCTCCCCATCCTCGCTTGGGCCGATATACTCCGCGTCACGAGGGCCGCGTGCCGCGTCTCGGCCGTGCGCCGGGGGCCGAGCGCGCAGGCGGCCGTGCACTCTCCGCGGCCGCCCGCGGCCACGAGAGTTGCGCGGTGCGCCCGCTAGCCCAGCGCCTGCGCGGGCACGCGGTCTGAGCGGGTGTTTTTTTTTGTTCTCTCTCTCGCGAGGCCAATTTCTATACACCACCACCGCCCGCAAGGTCCTTTTTTTGTTCTCTCTATGTTTCTCTCTTCCTGTGTTCGTTCTATATCCACCTCTCTACAGATATCCAGATATCTCTCTTCCTGTATACAGATATGTACAGATCCCTCTCTCTTGATCCACCTCGCCAGACCCCCGCCGACCAGGAGAGAGAACGAAAGAAAGAGGGGTGAGGAGCAGGAGAAGGAGGAGGCGGAGGAGAAGGAGGAGGAGGAGGAGGAGGAGGAGGAGGAAGCGGAGGCCGAGGAGGAGGCGGGGAGGAGTTGGAGGCGGGGAGGAGTTGGAGGAGGGAGGAGGCAGGGAGGGAGGCAGGTAGAGAAGAGGTAGGAGGAGGGCGCGGGGATTCAGGATAATGGTGATGGTGGTGATCTGATGGTTATGATGATGGTGGCCGTGATGGTGATGGTGGGTGTGATTATGGTGATGGTGATGAAGATGAAGATGAAGATGAAGATGATAAAGCTGAGTATTAATATGGCAACGATGAAGATGATAATTGACATTGTTAAGATGAAGATCATGAAGATGATGACGTGGAGAACGATGATGATGATGCTGATGATGATGATGATGATGATGATGATGATGACGATGATGCTGCTGCTGCTGCTGCTGCTGATGATGATGATGATGATGATGATGATGATGATGATGATGATGATGATGTAGATGATGAAGTAGATGATGAGTACGATGAATCATGTATTTTTGATGATGCTGATGACGATGATGATGCTGATGATGCTGATGATGATGCTGTTGATGGTGATGAGCATGATGATGATAATGATGATAATGATGATGATGATGATGATGATGAGGAGGAGGAGGAGGATGAGGAGGATGAGGATGAGGATGAGGATGAGGATGCTGCTGATGATCCGCATGATGGGATTATGATAGTGCTGGTGATGGTGATCTCTTGGTGGCGGTGGTGGTGGTGAAGATGGTGGCGGTGGTGTTGGTGATGGTGATGGTGATGGTGATGGTGATGGTGATGGTGGTGGTGGTGGTGGTGATGGTGATGCTGGACATGTTTCGTGATGAGGAGGCGAACGAGGATGCTGAACCCGCTCCCCCCGAGGAGGCCGCGCCCGCGCAGAGGGCCGGGGGCCAGGGGCTGCGCGGCCTGGACGGCTGAGGCCCCCCCGGGCGGCCCCGGCCGGGCGCGCCGCCGCGCGGGCGCCGCGCCGCCGCGCGGGCGCCGCGCCGCCGTGCTGGCGCCGCGCCGCGCTTTCGTGAGCGGGAGGCGGCGTCGTCGGTCGGCGGCGAGAACCTCACCAGCCACCAAACCACCCCAACCCAACCCAGAGGCTCAGATTTGCCCTCGATTTCCAGTGGGGGGGGGGGGGTCGGGAAACGTAGAGAACACACACGTGGAACCCTTACCCCCCCCCCAACCCGAAAGTCGGGTCTTCGGGTTGGGTTGGGGTGGTCTGGTAGGTAGTCAGAACCGAATCATACCCGCAAGTCGGGCCTGTCCCCCTACAGGAGGAATATCCAAAAATAATTTTACAAAGTCGTCCGGAGACGATGGTTCGACTATTTGTTTGACCATTTTTGAGCATGTCTCGGGTATGTTTCGTTTGTCGCCCAAGATCCGCCTGCAGGAGGACATGCCCAACCGAGTCCTACCCTCGCCGATCAACGGATCCGGCAGCTCGATGGGCGGCGGGGCTAGGGTTCGGAATTCGTCGAGCACGTGGCGAAGTCCGAACCCTACCCCCGCCTCTCATCGATTCAGGCGAGTCTATGCTTGGGGGGGGTAGGGTTCGGATGTCGCCACCTAGTCTGGTGGCGGCTGCCGCCACAACCTGGGCCTCGAAGATGGGGTACGAGCAGGTGAGGGCGGAGGATCGCGCCGCATCGCCGATGCACTGGCGATGCGGCTCGATGCTGAGCACGATTTTCTCCACGCCGATGTCGTCGATGCATCGGCGATGCGGCGCGATCCTCCGACTCCATCTACTCGGGCCCCATCTGAGAGGCGTCTACGCACGATGGTTCGACAGGTCCGTGCCGTGCCGACGCGGCAGCGACCTCGCCGCGGGCGCTCGAAGTTGAGCGCACCCGGTGTTCCAGAGTCGTCCAAGATGGAGCGATTTGGCGATCGAAGAGTGGCCGATCGTTCAGGATTGGAGCGATCCACGCGGTGTCGGAAGCCAGCCTCGAAGTCGTCAACGGCACGAGCTTGCCGAATGTGCAGGTCCCCCCCCCCTCAGGGGGGCAAGGCTGGGGAAGGACAGGGCCTGGGCAGGGATGCATCGGCCGCCGATCGCCCATTGATCGCCAGTCGGGTGAAGTCGGCCATGTCCCTCTACACGATGAGGAAAATCCAAAAGTTGTCAAAAAGTAGTCTGGGGACGATTTTTCGAATCTGTTAGTTGACCATCTTCCTGCTTCCTCCAGAACTCGGCCGTAGAAGGACATGCCCGACCTGACGGTAGGGGCCTGACAGCCCAGCCCGCCCAGGAACATGCGGTTCCGATATCGGGGGCATATTGCCCTTGGGGCCTCTCGAGTTCGGCCTCTCGGGGCCTTCTCTTGGAGCTCTGTCGGGGCGTCTCGAAGGCCTCTTTGGCCATCTTGGAGCCATCTTGAGCGTCTTGGACCGATCGTGTAGCGATTCAGAGCATCCCTGGACCGTCTGGGCGGTCTCTTGAAGGTCTCTTGGCCCGTTTTGGACCCTTCTTGGCTCCGAACAAGTCATGTTTTACCACTCGGGGGAGCCCTCGGGAACCGCGCCAAGCTGCAGGAGATTTGAGAGTTTGAGGCGCCACCATAAACTCGACGTGACTCTCAGAGAAACCCTGCGTCACGGGAATCCTGGGATCCCTGGTGCCACAAAGACGTCGCTTGCGAGCACCAGAGGAGAGGGATCACAGAAGGCCCCTGCGAGCGCACGCAGGAGTAGGCGATGCTGCCTCGGCAGCGAATGCCGACACCTGATACCCCGCCTCGGCCACGGGCGGAAGGAAGACCGACCAGAAGCGACGAGTCACCGATTTTAGACAAAGGATGTAACTGGAATCTTCCTCCCCAGGCGCCACGTTCAGGGACGATGAAGATTCCAGTGGGCTGCCTCCCCCCTCTGTGGTCCAGTGCGCCCGCACGGACCTTTGGGCAACACACTCGGTGCGGCCAGCCCGGGGCGCTCGAGAGACCCTCACAGAGATCTCGAGACCCACTGCTGGGGCTCACGCCGACCCATGCTAAAACCCCACTGCTGGCGACGTGACCGCAGCCTCTGCCTACCGCAGTGCTGAAAGCGACGCCAGGGAGGGCGCCTAGAAACAGCGGACGCCAGCCTTGCGCGCAGGTGAGGCGGACCAACGCGAGAGTCGTTTTCTGTGGGCTCAGGGCACGGGCGCCCCCTCGGACGCAGACGACTCCGAGATTTCGACGAGCCATTCTGCCGCAGTCGCCTCGCCCAGGGACGCCGCCGAGGCGTAGCCGAACGCGGCCACCCTGTGCCATCCTCCGCAGTGGAAGGTCGCCAGGACGCCCCTGGCAGCCAGGCACTCCTCGGCCCGGCGCCGCGGCGACAGGCATGCGTGCCCCATTCTGCGGCTCGTTCGAACCCCAGCGCCAGCGCCGCCACCTGCAGCTGGGACAATGCGTGCCCGTAGGCGTGCCTGCAGGACAGCGTTGGGAAGACCCGGCCTGTCTGAACACGGTCCTGAAGCACGCACACTCCGCACAGTTGCCGGGACTGCAGGGCGCAGATGCACCGCCTGGGCACGACTGTTGTCTCCGCGCACGTCTTACGCCTATGCAGATGCGCGCTCGCCTTCGGCAGGCGCCGCCAGTGGACAGGACCACCTTGAGGTGGGGCCCGTCTGCTGGCAGGGGCACCAGCTCGGAAGCAAAACGGAAGCAGAACTGTCTGGCCACCACGAGCGCATACGCTGTCGTAAGGTCGCCAAGCGCCCCCCAGACGTGCTGCGCCAGGGACCGGATCTGTCGCGCCGAAGCCCGCGCCCAGCAATGCCGGGTGACCACCGCTGCCTTGTTCGCTCCGCGCACCAAGCATGACGTGTCTTCCAAACACCCCAGCGGCATGTGGAGCAGCCCGAGCGCGGTGCGGATCTGCGTGCAGTAGGTCATCAGACTGGCCCCGTTTTGCACGGCGAGGGCGAATACCCCCAGCATTGAATCCGCCTGGGGCCAACGTTCGCCCCGATGTTCCAGGCCACTTGTTCCCACAGGCGCACCAGAGAGGCATATTTATATGCGCTGCGATGCCGCGCAAGAAACTCCCGCCTGAGGAGTTCTTGCGTTGCCATGGGCCCTGCCATCTCGGGCCCAGCATGGGCTGCGCGTTCCCGGGGGCTGCTGGTAGAGACCCCGTGACGCTTCTCCCGCACAGAGAGCAGCTCCTCTGGCGTGGCGCGGCCCAACTCTTGCACCGCGTCCGCCATCTCCCTGGGCGCCACGAGCTCGCGCTGGAGGCGCGCTGCGGCGAGGAACCCGAGCGCCGCCAATGCCGCGTCGCCGGCTTCTGCGGCAAGTCCCGCGGCTGGCGCCTTGCACACCTGCTGCGCCAGACTTCCTGCCCCTGCCCCCGTCGCACCGCCGGGCGGCGGCGCATGCGCACGGCCCGCGGAGCGCGGGCCCCTGCTTGCGCAGAGGACGCCGCCGCGGCGGCGCGGGCCGGCCCGGCGGACAAGGCCGCCACGACCTCGTCGCGACGGTCGCGGAGGCACGGCCATACCTAGGGGAACGAACAATGACATAAACATAAAAAAAACCGGATGTCCGCGCGGATTTCTCGGATCCGCGCTGGGGCCCCCTGGCGGCGCCGCCCCTGGCGCGCTCGATCCGAGAAACCCGCGCGGAGCTCAGAGTTTTTATGGTTGTGTCATTGTTTGTTCCCCTAGCACCTCCGTCGGTTCTTGGACGCCCAGGCTGAAGAGTCTGCTCCTTCAGCGGCGCCACCCGCAGGCGCTTCCCTCGGGACGCACTGGGGCGACGGCGGAGGCGTGCGCCGGAGCGTGGCGGCGAGCCACTCGCTCAAGGCCGGCGGGGCTGGCGGCGGCGCACCCCAAGTCTGCTGGCAGCGCGCGGCGTGCGGCCAGAGCCGGGCCACCGTCGCCGCCAGGCTGCTTTCCCCTCAGGCGTGAAGTCGGGCACGTCCCTCTACAGGAGGAGTATTCAAACATTGTTTTAAAGCAGTGACATGGGACGTTTCTTCCACAATGTTTGCACATTTGTTGAAAGTATTTCTAGAGCATTTTTCATTGTTCGTTCAACATCCGCCTGTAGGGGGACATGCCCGAAAATTGTTGCATTTCTTTGGCTTTCCGATACTCCCAGGTAGGACAATCTGCAACGTTGCGTTACGAGGGCACGCGAAACATATTTATGATATGGCCTCGGTCCGTTGGTGCGAACCATATGCTGGACACTGTGTCGTTCGAGTCTCGCTGACGCGAGCAGCCGCGGAGTAGCGTGCCTAGTGCCACTGACGTATCTACGAGCATCACGATGTCGAGGCCGCCAGCGCCCGCGGCAGATTCAAAGAGATACCACAAAGCATAAGCGGCGGCGACCAGCTCCCACGTTACACTCTGCTGCCTACGGAAGCACACCCACCAGGTGAGCCAAGGGGGGCACGCGCGTAGACGAAAACACGCGCTGATCTTGAAGCGCTGCGACCCAAGCCAACGTGCCTGCACCTGTTGCGTCCTTGTAAGCCACCAAACGCGGCTTGGCGGACGGCTCCAGAGGTATGTTCTTCGGGGATGCGTTTCCAAGAAACGCTGCCACCACTCGAGCGCCCTGACCAGGCGCGCTGCCATCCTCTTGCTGTTGCCGCAATCGTGCCAGAACACCGGAGCGAGGTACACGCGGACGGGTCACCGAATCTAGCCATAGCGACAAGGGGTGTAGAATGTTCCTCCCCAGGGACCACGTCCAGAGACGATAAGACTCCTCAGGAGCAAGGGGAACGAGCATGGGGCCTGAGGACACTCCAACTCGTGCCTGAGGACACGGTGACGGACACACCGCCGCCTTCCCTGGAGGCACAGGGACTCACCAACGGGTGTCTGTGTATACTTTCGGCGGCGCATGACGAGGCCGACGTCGACCGTGATGATGCTCGTCGTCGACAGTGACGAGGATCGAGGATCGAGAAGG